CTTGGTTGTTCAGCCCTGCGCTCCGGATCATACTTTACCCTCTGTTGTCCGGCTTCATGCATTGCAGTCGGACGACTGCCTGTCTAGTACGATGAGGAGATGAGGGGGTGGGGTGAACTCCGAGCCACGCGATGAGGTTGAATTTTTTATTCGGATTTAAGGTGTCAGCACTATTAGACTCGGTCTGGGGTGGTGGTTCTGTCATAGGCACTTGCAAAGGGCCTCCGGCTGGGGAAGGTGTAGAACTTGCTGGTTTCTTTCGCTGTGGTAGTCTCCGGCAAATCTTCGGATAACGCTCACTAGGTTAATCTCTTGACAATCTTTGACCAGTATGCCCTCAATGCCAATGTCATGCGATTCGTAGCTAGCCCTTATGCCAGTATATTCTGGTCAAGCCGTTGTACAACTATACTGTTCCAGTTACGTCTTGTTTGGTGCTATTGCATAACCTTCGCTAGTTTGATAGCAAATGAAAAATTAATGAAAGTAAACAACATGCAACAATAGTGTTCGAGACATCACTGTCCTCATAACCTGACCCAATAAGTATGATGTAGATACGCTAGTTTGTAGACAAGAAAATCAATACCGACATAGATCAGGCATCAAAATCACTGTCAACTTCGAAGCACAACTAACTACAATTTTTAATATGACGATAGCACATAGTACTAGTATAATTCAAAAAGGTGCCAGGACTAGTCAGCGTGCAAACCGACCACATGTCGGCTTGAATATATATAATCTGAAGTACTAATAGCAAGCGAGAGCGGAAGTAGGGATGATGGTACTAAAACCGTTATACACATCATCAAACCCACTACACAAGTCCCCCTCGGCAGAAAGTATTAACGATACTGACAGGTGATTTGCAATGGAGATACTGTCAATCATAGTTTTTGTTTTCCTTTTCCCTTGTTTGTGGATAATGTCCAGTGGTTCTTGGGGTCACACGCACTGGAATCCCGCCGATCTTCCCGCTGCCACACACGTGGTTATCAGTGTGCCCCACGCCGACCGGTGAGAGAAACCAGCCATCTATCGCAGAAACTATTCCTTTTTCCATATTACCATATATCTAGTCTACCTCATATGTATCCTAGTCCTGTCAATCTTTTGCCTTCTCACTGACATAAATAACCCATGGACAATTGCCGTTCATCTCCGGTCGCACCCATCCGCACCCCATCAGACCATCCATCCACCACCCACCACCTATGAAACCAACCCAGCAACAAATATAAAATAAAACAGCAGACTCTTCATCAAATATCTTAACGCAGATGTAACACATCATCCCCACCAGCAATCCCTGATGCAGGATCCCACCACTCAGATCACCTGAAACAACCGCAGAGGGTCTCGCCATACCGAATCGAGCACGGACAAAACACCTGCATCTGCAGATTGATTAACTGCCGCGATGATCGTCACCGCTCCGTTCTCAACTCGGTATCCGGAGGTCCAAGACTGGAGACAGAACCCCTTCCCAGTCGTCCTACAGGCCACTGCTTATTTCAGAACGGAGCGTCGTCCGTGTAGCAGAAACCGACTGGCAGCGGGCAGAGTAGCTATAAAGCAGCTTAACCCACACATCACTCAATAAACCCAGGGAAAGAAACAATACAGCCAAGCAAACCACCACAATGAAGCTCTCCAGCTCCCTCCTCACACTGGCCAGCCTGGCGCTGGCCAACCTCTCTACGGCCCTCCCTAAAGCCTCTCCTGCATCAAGCACCAGAAGCACCAGTGCTTCCACCTCCTTCGCCAGCACCTCGGGCCTCCAATTCACCATCGACGGCGAAACCGGCTACTTCGCCGGAACGAACAGTTACTGGATCGGCTTCCTGACCGACGACTCAGACGTCGACCTGGTGATGAGCGACTTGAAGTCATCCGGACTGAAGATCCTCCGCGTATGGGGCTTCAACGACGTCACCACGCAGCCCTCCTCCGGCACAGTCTGGTACCAACTGCACCAGAACGGCAAATCAACAATCAACACTGGCGCCGACGGTCTCCAGCGCCTCGACTACGTCGTCTCGTCCGCCGAACAGCACGGCATCAAACTCATCATCAACTTCGTCAACTACTGGACCGACTATGGCGGTATGTCCGCGTACGTGAGCGCATATGGCGGATCCGACGAAACGGATTTCTATACCAGTGATACGATGCAATCTGCGTATCAGACATATATTAAGACGGTCGTGGAGCGGTATAGTAACTCCTCTGCGGTGTTTGCGTGGGAGTTGGCGAATGAGCCGAGATGTCCCAGTTGTGATACTACCGTGTTGTACGATTGGATCGAGAAGACGAGTAAGTTTATTAAGGGGCTGGACGCGGATCATATGGTTTGTATTGGTGATGGTGAGTGCCCCAAAACCTTCGAAACTAAGATAAAGTGGGTGCTAATGAAAAGTAGAGGGCTTCGGCCTCAACACCGACTCGGACGGAAGCTATCCGTACCAATTCGCCGAGGGTCTCAACTTCACCATGAACCTCGGTATTGATACTATTGACTTTGCTACCCTCCACTTGTATCCTGATAGCTGTATGTACTCCCCACCTCTCTTTACCTCCCCGATAAACTAACAAAAGATTAAAGGGGGCACCTCCGACGACTGGGGCAACGGATGGATCAGCGCACACGGCGCGGCATGCAAAGCGGCCGGCAAGCCCTGTCTACTGGAAGAATACGGCGTCACCTCGAACCACTGCAGTGTGGAGAGCCCGTGGCAGCAGACAGCCCTCAACACGACGGGCGTCAGCGCAGATCTGTTCTGGCAGTATGGTGATGATTTGAGCACGGGCGAGTCGCCGGATGATGGGAATACTATCTACTATGGGACGAGCGATTATGAGTGTTTGGTCACGGATCATGTGGCTGCTATTGATAGCGCATAGGGGATAGGGAGAAGTGGATATATCTAGTTGCTACATTATGAGGGGTGCTGTACATAAGAATGCGCCTGAGGGAGGGTGTGAAGAGTGATAACTGAACGTCGAATTAAGATAGGGTACAATTCGAGAGGCAAATCGTCGCTTTAATTACCTTAGTCAGGATCGGGTAGTATACCGGGACTTGCTTTGTTACTGGGTATATTGATAAAACAAGCCATCTATACATCTAACAAATCAAGAATAAAAAACAAAGAAAGGGCAAAAACAACCATCTTATCCATTCCCATCGTAACCCAGCGCCACCACCTCCAATACCCATCTAATCCCTCTCATACCTCCCCCCAACCCTCATAAGCTCCACCTCACTTTCATGCTCACTCCCACCCCCCTCCCCCTTATCCTCCCCCTTAACCATCAAAAACGGCTCCGCATCACCAACCCTCTCCGCCGTCAACCCCATATTCCCAGGCCTCCTCATCCCGGCCTCCAACTGTCTCTGATACGACACCCTCCTCAACCTCGCCGACTCAGCCGGAGTAAGATGCAGATACAGCTCGGCCGCAAAGACATGAATAGCGACCGCGAGCCACGCCGCAGCACTGAAACTGATGTCGAGGCCAGCGGCAGCCTGGTCCACATTCCCGGTTCCATTGGAGCTGAAAGCGTTGACAAGGACGTGGTGGTTTGGATTAGTCCCCGTGCAGGACGGATGGAGAGATTGCACGACGGATTGGTTCCCGTTTAGCATAAAGGAGATCTCGGAGCAGGAGTAGGATACGAAATATTGGTTTGGGGCGAGGGCCACGAGGACTTTGTTGGTGGTTATGCCGATGATGCGCATGGTTATGATGAAGCCGCCCTGTTGGGTATTAGTACGGAGTATTCGGGGAGGGAAGGAAAGGGACATACGCAGACCCAAGCCCGAATCATCCACGCGCGGTGCTGCTCGATCTGCAGTCGTTTGATATTATAATAAGCGATGCAGATACAGCTAAGGAAGATGATGAGTGCCACGCCAAGGGCGATTTGGATGCTCACACCGCCGCCGAAGCTATGCTCTGCTATCATTAGCACGCCGGCCATGCCGGTGAAAGAGCCGATGATGACCAGGTAGCCGTTGATGCGGTGGAAGAGGATGACTTTGTGGCGGATGACGGGAACGAATTGGAGGAAGGCGAGGAGACAGGCTGGGAGGATAGCGCCGAGGTGGAGGAGGATGCCGACGCGGCCGCGGGTATCTTGGTAGTAGAAGCATTCGCCGGGCAGAGCATCGGCTTTGTTTTGGTCTGCTGGGCAGAAGATGCCGTCGAAGTTGAGGTACATGAGTCGGGCGAGGGAGAAGCCCAGGAGTGCGCCGGCGGATATCATCCATAGGATGAAGTTGTAGCCTTTGGCGAAGCCGATCGGGTTGTAGATCTTTCGGGCGGTGGCTACGAAGTTGTTGGCTGGGGGGCGGGTGGGTTTGACCATTTTGATGGATTGATAGGTGTGGTCGAGGAGGGATAGGATAAGTCGAGGTTCTGAGTATGGAATTCTGCAATGTGATGCATTCGAAGCATGTTGGTGGTTACTGAGAAGGTGACTTTATACATCTTTCGTGCTCGAGCACACTGTTAACAGCCCCAGAATTCCGTTCCTGCAGGCGATGCATCGTTTCAGAAGACATCTACATTTCCCAGATGGGTTAGGGTTTTGCGATGATATGACCTTAATCAGCAGCGTGAGATAATCAAGAACCCGACAGAGGCTCAGCTATTAATAATCTTGGCAGATTGTACCCCGTAGATTTGGTTCTCTGGAAAGCTGAAACCCCAGACTCAAGCATGTTTAAAGTTATAGCAGTGCCACACTATACCCAACTGGGTATCTTTTTTGCGACAGACATGGCCAAGACCCTATCCCGTTGGACAGAATCTCAGCCGCAGTTGCAGCCTCCGCACAGCTAGCCTGATTCTGCGTTGTGTTCAGGCACTGAGTGGGGGCCGAAGTTCAGCCTTGTCATGATGGACCCCTATTTAATCCATTTACTCATGAACGATTAGAGTTGTTCCTTCTGTCGCAATACCATCGCTTCTTTGGGCCACCCCACTCTCACCATGGTCAATCACGGACCCTCTGCAGGATGCGTTACATGCAAAGCACGACGGGTCAAATGTGACGAGGCGAAGCCTGAATGTCACTCGTGTCAACGCCTCAACCTTCGCTGTGGGGGCTACAAGTCGAAGCCTGTCAAGATAAGGTTCAAAGACCAAACCTCGAAAGTGTGCAATGACATTGCTTCGAGGCATGCGGCCCATAATCAGCAATTGGTTCCTTGCTTGCGATCGCTAACCGACCCCGACCCTTCCGTACCATTCTTCATCCGACATTACGCCATGATGGGTCGCGACATGAAATCTTCTCGCGGGTTCTTCGAGATGTTAGTACCAGTATACGCTTCTGAGAAGCAGAACTCGGCGCTCTCACTCGCCGTGACCGCCACGGCTTCGGAAATCATGTCGCGTTGGCGACACGAGAATAGCTCCCGAGCATCACGGGAAACGTATGCCCAGGCCATCAAGTCTCTTCGAAAGACAATCGAGGATCACAATGAGTGGACAAATCCAGCAACCATTCTAGCAGTGCTGGCGCTGCAATTCTATGAGAATTTCGCTGTCATATACGGGAGTAAATCAGCCACGAGCGTCCACCACGACGCAGCCGTCTCCCTGCTCCCATTCACCGATCAGAATTGTCCCGATGGGTCCCTCATGACACACATTCGGCGATATATCCTGCATATTGAAATCTCCTCGGCGATACGTCAGAAACGGCTGCTGCAGAGCACGGCCCATTCGCGTATTGGGTGCATAGAGCCGAAAATTGCACCAGGTAATTTTGGTCCCGCCCTGGATGCAATTGGTGCGTTTGCTGCCGAGTTACATGCAAGTTACTGGCAGCATGCAGCACACAAGGGCTCTATGTTTTCAACAGACATACCCAGAAATTGGATAGCCGAGGCAAAACGCATTGATGAGCAACTCCTGGCTTGGGCACAAAAGGTCCCGCAACATTTGCGGCCCGTGAGACTCACGGATGGAAGTGCCCTTGACCCATCGATACCAACCTACAATTCCATCTGCGACGTTTATATTTCATGCCAGATTGGTACACTATGGAATGAATGGCGCGCTCAACGCCTCTTGCTCGTCAAGATCATCCTCAGTTCGCTGCGTACGAACCCACCAGGGCGTTATACGCATCTAGATGCTGGAACCTCAACGGGAGATGAAGACTTCGCCAGATATAAGTACATTCTCCAGGAGCTCATTGACTCGGTCTGCTACAGCGTACCTTTTTACCTTGGAAACCAAGGCGGATGGCTGAGTATCCCCGACTTGACCGACCCATCAATTCGGCTTCCTAGCTATCGCTTACTAGGAGATTCCAACCGGCAAAAGTCCGCGCAAAAGTCGGAAGACGAGCACAGAAGCCATATTATCGCCCAAGGGCCGTGGCATATTATGAGTATGCTGAGTCGTGTGGTGGTATTCTTCATAGAGGACTATGGTCAGGGAATGGTGTCTTTTCTCCGACCTGGACAGCTTCAGTGGGTTCGCGAGCAGTTTTTGCGGGTCACGCAGCTGCTTCGTATTCCGTTGGAGGAGGCGGGTGATACTGACGGGGGATTTTATCCTTTGAATAGGTCTGTACATGCGGATTTAGATGGGAAGATAGATAATCTGGCGAGGCGGGTCAGAAAAGGCGCGTTTATATGATGACCCTTCGGAATGTGCTTTCAGTGTTATTTGTAGTGCATCTTTGCGTGATGAACTGAAATGAGGTTAATGATTATGTTAGTTTACGTTCATGATACCTATGTCAATATTTTACAATATTCTGCAATTGTAGCATATCCCTAAAGTAAGCAGCAACCTCAGGCCGCAATGGACAGCCTCGCCGCCAAGCCCGAATCTGCCCTGCAACACAGCCTCGTCTTACTCTCTGACTCTTCACAACAGCTGATCATTAGGCTGCACAGTAATATCGCTGGATTGATTCATCTATCTTCATTCTTTTGCAAATCCATAGCAGCACATAACCCCAAAGTCACTAGCAATACTCCCCCAACATGGGCCGACCGAAAGATCTTCCCCCATCCTACGAAGAGACTGTGGCTAGTGATCCCAATCTCCCCGCCGCCTCCCGGCCAGCACCACCACCACCTCCTCCAACTACCTTCTCCTTCCCTCACCTCCCCGATGCCCCCATTCCTGAAAGTCAACCCTACCACAGCGTCCACTCGGGCAACCGTGACTCTTCCACCGTCACCCTCGCCCCATCTCTCAGCGAAGATGCCTCGTCGCTGCACGCCCTTATTACCCAGCAAGCCGAGTTCCCGCCGCGACCGTACCTGACCGTGCGCGGTTCCCATACCGAGACCCGCCATGACCACCATCGCAAGGAGGATCGCAAGGAGACGATCGTGGACTTTGCCTTCAAGGTTGATCTCTATGGATACATAATACGCCACGAGCATGGAACCCAGCAGTATGGCGATGATGACGACCTGGGACTGGATCTGGACCCTACGCAGGATGGATGGCATGTGCTGAGTGTCGTGCGGGATAATGATACACGAAAGACCTACCGTGGTGGACGATTTAAGTCAGAGACGTGGTCGGGCCGAAGGAAAGGGCCACTGGGACAGCGAATCCGACAGCGAGTGGGAGAGCGACTGCGCTCACGGTTCGTGCAACTGGAGGAGGGGCTTGATCACGAGGCGACCGGGTTGGTGCGACAGGATGAGGGAGGTCCTAGTTTGATGGGCTGGTGTGAGCGATACTGCGATGATCCGTCTTCTGTCAAATCGTGCGCTTCCCCGAGTAGTATCTATTTACGTACGGCATGCTGACTTATGCAGGTTCAAATTCTCCCGCGGCATCGTCGGCTTCGATGGCTCTGTTCTCATCTCCTCATTGACATCCCATTTGCGCAGTCTGCACTACAGAGGCGACATTAGCATCACAGTTGACATGGCGAATCGCGACTTAATAGTATACAACCCCCACTGGGTGAACAAGCTACGCAACAATGCCTGGGTGTACTATCTCTGTATCATCCTACAGGTGTGGATCCTCGCGTGGCCGATTATCTTTTTGCTTGAGCGTCGCTACGATATCGTTCGCTCAGTGTGGTATTTCTCGCGAGTCGAGGATGGCGAAACGCGGTATGCGCGCCATCGCGATGAGGCTGCTATAGCGGATGAGCTGGCTCCGGCGGTGACGCAGGCGGCGTTGGAGCGGAATCAGGAGGGGAGGATCTTGACGGCACCGGAGATGCAGCTCCTTGATTCATTGGGGAGAGAGAGACGGGAGCGTGGCGTGGTCGTGATGCAGTGGGATCGATTCCTGGGATGGGGTGGTGATAATTACTCCTAGTTGCCGGGCGATAGCCGGTCGAGTGCTATCTAGGAGATACCGTGCTTGGGCAATAAGCCATGGCTAGGCTAGCATGTATGTTGCACCCGTCTTTGGTGTAAAGGTGTTATTATCAGTGGCTGGTCTATTGCTAGTCAATGGCCGACATGTGAGCAGACATAGGCCAGAAGACTTGCAAAGATTGGCTCAGTATATTTCTTATCATATGAAACACATACCAAACTAAGCGAGCCTGATCCGGCTCAACACCTGCATGGCGCATATGTACAACACCGGGTAGCTCCCCGAATAGAATGACAGTTTCTCGACCACCACCGAGCAGCCGGACCGGTGGCCGGACCGGTAGAAGGCGTTGGGAGAGCTTAAAAAGAGGGTTCAGGGGTATCAAGACCCTGGGCGAGGCTAGGATTTCGGCGATACGAGAGGAAGCGATAGCCAGCTGGACTGGGATAGGGCAGGACGAGACACGCTAGACAGAACCGAGGCACGGGACGCCACAGCAACCAGTCAGGGGAAGAGCTGCCACAAGGCTGCACCTCACCAGGAATCCTGCATAATCCCTTCCGGTGGCCGGTTGAGGAGAGCATTGGCACAGGAAGCGAGGTGAAAGAGTGGCTGATAAGCGTGTCTTGAGCCCGATGCACTATCACGCGAGCACCAATCACGCCCAGCAACTTAATTTCCCCCGCATCTTCTTATCTTGTCCCGTCTATTCCCTATTCATCTGGATGCCCCCGACCGTCATGAATCCAATGTATTTCACTGGTTAATGCCACTGACCGTCCCGGTTGCGGGGATTGTCCTACTGTAAGCGATGTCATGCCAAGGGCACGAGTGGTACGAGGACAGCGTTATGCTTTTCCGTTACTTATAACCAGGGCACGTCGCACGACGTTGCTCTTCCGTCACCTTGAGATGTGCACCACTTCACCCTCACCTCATCTCCCTTCCCCTTCGCAGTGTCTCGTACACCATGGCCCCATCAGAGAAACCAGAAATGGCGTCCACATCACATCCGGACCCCGAGTCCGGCATCGCAGCCGGTGATCTGAAATCGGGTGCTTTGCATGAGATGATCGCACGCGACCTGCTCGATGAACGATACAAGGTCACTCAGCGTGGCCTCAAAAACCGCCATGTGCAGCTCATGGCCCTGGGAGGCACGATCGGCACCGGTCTCTTCGTCGGATCTGGTCAGGCTCTACATATCGGTGGTCCTCTTTCCCTCTTGCTCGGTTACATCTTCATTTCGGTCCTTGTCTTCTCCCTCGTCACGGGAATCGCGGAAATCGGCGCCTACATGCCCGTTCATGGTGGAACAATGAGCTATCATGGCTTTCGCTACGTCTCGCGCAGTATGGGGTTCGCAATGGGATACTTGTATTGGTACTCGCTGGGAATATTGGTGCCGTACGAGGTTGTCGCAGCCTCCATGGTCATCGATTACTGGCATCCGAACGTCAATCTGGCCGTCTGGATTACCATAATGCTCGTTGTTATCGTCCTTCTCAACTGCCTGCCGGTGGGCGTATATGGCGAAACCGAGTTCTGGTTCTCCGGGATCAAAATCATCACTCTGGTCGGGTTGCTGCTCTTGTCCTTTATACTCTTCTGGGGCGGTGGTCCCAACCGCCAACGCCTCGGGTTTCATTACTGGAAAGACCCCGGAGTCATGAACACCTACCTTGTCTCCGGTGATGCCGGTCGCTTCGTCGGCCTTCTGCAGTGCATCGTCAAATCAGCCATCGCATTCATCTTCGCGCCCGAATTAGTCGTCATCAGTGGCGGAGAAATGGAATCCCCTCGTCGCAACGTCCCCAAAGCCGCCCGTCGATACATCTACCGACTAGTCATCTTCTACGTCCTGGCCGCCCTCGCCATCGGAGTCATCTGCTCCTCCAACGCGAAACAACTAACCGCCGGCTCCGGCACCGACGCGTCCTCCTCCCCCTTCGTCGTGGCGATCTCCAACGCAGGCATCCCCGTCCTCCCCAGCATCGTCAACGCCGCGATCCTCACCTCCGCCTGGTCCGCCGGCAACTCTTTCCTGTACATGTCCTCCCGCTCACTCTACTCCCTCGCCGTCTCCGGCAACGCCCCCAGCATCTTCAAAGCCTGCAACCGCTGGGGCGTACCGTACTTCGCCGTCGCCATCTCCTCCCTCTTCTCCCTCCTCGCATACATGGCCGTCGGCAGCGGCAGTTACACCGTCTTCAACTGGCTCATCAACTTCACCAACACCTCCGGCTTCATCTCCTGGTTCTGCTGCAGTGTCGTGTACTTTCGCTTCAACAAAGCCGTTAAAGTGCAGGGCGTCGAGAAACCCTATTCATCGCGCATGCAGCCATGGGGCATGTACGTCGGTCTGGCAGGCTCGACCTTCCTCGCTCTGATCAATGGATTCACCTGCTTCTTCCCGTCCGAGTGGTCCGCGAGTAACTTCTTCACGGCATATATCGGTATCCCCGCGTTCGTGGTGCTGTATGCTGTTCATCGAATCGTCTACTGGAGTGATCCGTGGGCGTGGAGGAGTGAGGAGGTCGATTTGCATACTGGGTTGAGGGAGATTATGGAGGCGGAGAAGCCGGAAAGAGTTAGGGATACGTGGTGGAAGAAGTTGGCGGTTTTGGTGGAGTAGACGGAATGCCTCCTGGATGGTGGGGCTGGGGGGGTTGCTAGGTTAATAGTCATTTAGCTAAATATCACCTCTCATGTTGAATTCATAATCGCTCAAGCTTCTGGAGAGAAATCGTCTTTCATCCGTTGAAGTGGTATCATGGATGGTATAAATATACATAACCAGTCGACAACCATCGTGTCAATCGCATCGCAGGCCAGTAACTCACGTATGAGAAGCATGGGTGTAAGAATATGTTTTCGGACAATGTCATGCCAGACTTGCTGTATCAGAGCGTTGGGGATAGTTATATACCATAGGTAGGGCACACATGTCGGGCCGAAAGGTGAATTGGCACACCTGCCTGATGCAAGTGCGTGTCGCACAGGGACTGATTGGATGGTAAGATGCATGGTTGCATTAGTAGCTAGCAGGGCCAATGAAATAGTAGGGTATATATATTTCGGTAATGAGGGTCCTATTACTACTGGAAAAGTCTTTGACTTTGGTATACAGTTGCTAACAGAGTAATCGGTCAAAGGCGTATGAACTGGCCTTGGAGAAACAAGCTAGAGACTCCGATCAATGGTTTATACATATGGACCTGATTGACAATGGGATTGAATCTAGACCTTGATGTATAAGGTGGTTGTGTTGTGTTTCGGCCGAAGGGAAATAGAGTTGGTAGTCGGGGTCATTGGTATGTCAGATATGAAGTCAC